CCTTTTGCCATGAGGGTTCCAGGTGAGGGCTGGTCTCGTGATGCAGTTAGGTGCTTTTCACGGTGCGTGTTCTATCCACTTCAACCACTTCTTCCTCATTTCCTCCTCCACTCGAATCTGGTTTGTTCTCTCCCACAGTAAGTTGTTGCTGATGGTGTCTGGCCAACGAATCTGAAGTGTTTTGCGTAGACAACTGTTCATAAACACTTGTATATTCTGGATGATGGCTTTTGTAGTTCTCCAAGTTTCCGCTCCATGCAGTATAACTGTCTTGACATTTGTATTGAAAATGCTGATTTTGGTTTTGGTTGAAAGTTGTTTTGAGTTCCAGATATTTTTCAATAGTAGAAATGCATCCCTTGCTTTGCCAATCCGCGCCAATATTAAAAACGCTCACCAGAAAAAATAATTCAAACTATATAAGCTAGCCGTATCTATATAGGTTAAAAGATGCATAAAAGCTAAAACCAATCAGAAAGAAAGTAGATTAGGATACCAGGTGATGAGGTATATGTAAATTTTATTAAATGTGAACTGTAAATTGTTAAACATAACCTTCAATAAGTTTGCATTTTCATCAATGAATTTCGGGTGGTTTATGCACCGATTTCGATTACTGAGTCAGACAAATATACATAAATATTCATTTTAACAGGAAATAAATTAGGCAGAACATTTAAGAGATAAATTTTCAAACGATGTACACATTTTGTTTTAAAAATTATTATCCAATTCTCTTGTTAGTCATCTATCCGGATGTCTTAAAGAAATGATGATCTCATTTTTTTTAATACAAGTATTTAATATAAATGATTTCCATAGATAGTTGTACATTCTGCGCTTTTATGAAGTGTTTTCTATGATAGTATTCATAAATTTCTGACCTGATGTTAACTTATTAATAATCTATTTCATATTAAAGTGATTGTGAAGATATGTGCTAAAATCAATTGAAAAGAAATGCTAATGTCTTTTTCATACTAGTTTGTATATATCGTCAAGATATATATATGAAAGATTTTTGGGGAACTGATACATTGTGTGGGTGTCTACTGCAATGACACAATTCAGCGATTGCCATAGAACTATTCGTTTCAAAACCGACCATATATGTATATATAGTAATGTCGATAAATCCCGAATTCGTAAACATAGTGGTATCCGTTTAAACTATCGCTAAACGTTAGCTCACCTATGGATTCTGATTGAATTTTATTGAACCGTTAAACGTTTAAACATGGATTATATGATGTTCACTTTGCATTACAACGGCCATATTGCAAGCAGATTGACTGCTTCCGATCAGGACAGAGTTTCAAGTCCAGAACCACTCAAGTTCTACAGAAGCAATATACATAGTGCAGTTTTCCAGTTTTGTGAAGCATACTGAGTGACAAAGTAAGAAGTGAGGTACTAATTTTAGACAGCATAAGAATGAAAGTATAATTAATCCACTAAGTGGGGCATCTTTTGATCAGTTGTTGAAAATGAACCTTCTACTCTAGCTGAGCATACAAGCTACTGGTCAATACTCACAGTGTGATAAATCAATAAAGTATATATTCACATAGGACTAGGATATCACGTGATTATCGGATGTTTTTAATGAATCATTAAAACCACTAGGAATTTTCCCAACCAACTGCTGTCAATTCAAGTCTACACTATTGATTGATTCACATGTTATTAAACTGAAGCTGTTTGTAAGTTTAAAAAGTTAAAAGGCTGGATCTTATTTCACCTCACAACAATAATGTTATTAGGCCACACCTCTATTGAAGGGTTATGTTCAAATAGGTGTTATATAATTATATAATCTATAATCATATTTGAACATAAACCTCAATGAGTTGTCCTAATAACATTATTTCGTGAGGTGAAATAGTCATCAAATAACTTTTTAAACTTGACAAGCAAGTTTATTTAATAACATGAATCAATCAGTGTTAGACTACCATTTACAAGCAGCTGGTTGGGAAATTCCAAAGTGGTTTAATGATTCAATAAATATTAGATAATCGTGATATCCTAGTCTATCTGAATATGTAATTTATTGATTTATCATGGAGTAGTGACCAGTAGCTTCTATGTCTAGGTAGAGTTCATTTTGAACAACTGTTCAAAGATATTGTGGATTAATTATACCTTCATTCTTGTGCTGTCTAAATTTAGTACCTCGAATTGTCATCACATACCTCTCTTCTAACTATCTCAGTCGGTATGCTTCAAAAAACTGGGAAACTGCGCTATGTATATTACTTCTGTAGAACTTGAGTGGTTCTGGACTTGATACTCTGTCCTGATCGAATGCACTCAATCTGCTTGCAGTATAGCCCGTTTAATGCAACGCGAATATCGTATAATCCATGTTTAAACGTTTAACGGTTCAATAAAAGTCAATGAGAATCCATAGGTGAGCTAAACTTTAGCGACAGACTAAACGGATACAGCCGCGGTTACGAATTCGGGATGTATCGGAATTACTATACATATATATATATATATATATATATATATATATGGTCAGTTTTGAAACGAATAGTTCTATGTCATTGGAGTAGACATCCACACAATGTATCAGTTCCCCGAAAATCTTTCATATATATACCAATATATGCAAACCAGTATGAAACAGACCTTTGACATTTCTTTTCAATTGATTTTAGCACATATCTTCACAATCACTTTTTATATGAAATAGATTATTAATAAATTAACATCAGGTCAGAAATTCAGGAATAAAATCATAGAAAACACTTCGTAAAAGCGCAGAATGTACAACAATCTATGAAAATCATTTATATTAAATACTTGTATTAAAAAAAATGAAATCATCGTTTCTTTAAGACATCCGGATAGATGACTAACAAGAGAATTGGATGATAATTTTTAAAATCAAATTTGTACATCGTTGAAACTTTATCTCTTAAATATTCTGCCTAATTTATTTCCTATTAAAATTAATAATTATGTGTATTTGTCTGATTCAGTAATCGAAATCGGTGCATAAACCACCCGAAATTCATTGATGAAAATGCCGACTTAATGAATGTTATGTTTAACAATTTACAGTTCACATTTAATAAAATTTTTGTATGCCTCATCATCTGGTATCCGAATCTATTTTCTTTCTGATTGGTTTCAGTTTTTATGCATCTTTTACCCTATATAGATACGGTTAGCTTATATAGTTTGAATTATTTTTTCTGGTTAGCGTTTTTAATATTTGCGCGGATTGGCAAAGCAAGGGATGCATTTCTACAGTTGAAAAATATCTGGAACTCCAGACAACTTTCAACCAAAAACCAAAATCAGGATTTTCAATACAAATGTCAAGACAGTTCTACTGTATGGAGCGGAAACGTGGAGGACTACGAAAGCCATCATCCAGAAGATACAAGTGTATATTAACAGTCGTCTACGCAAAATACTTAGGATTCGTTGGTCAGACACCATCAGTAACAACGTACTGTGGGAGAGAACAAACCAGATTGCAGTGGAGGAGGAAATCAGGAAGAAGCGGTGGAAGTGGATAGGAGACACACTAAGAAAAGCACCCAACTGTGTCACCAGACAAGCCCTCACTTGGAACCCTCAAGTTAAAAGGAAAAGAGGAAGGCCAAGGAACACATTAGGCCGAGAACTAGAGAAAGATATGAGAGGAGTGAACAAACATTGGACAGAACTGGAGAGGGAAGCCCAGGACAGAGTTGGTTGGAAGAAACTATTAGGCGGCCTATGCTCCATTGGGGTTAACAGGCTTAAGTAATTAAGTAAGTAAGCTTATATAGTCAAGTACAGTAGGTTGGAATACAAACTTATTAACTAGTGTAGTACACTACTTTAAAAGTTAGACTGTGCACTATGAATTGTAATTAATAAATTCGGTCCAAGATGGATATGTTATTGAATGTCTTCTGATAGTTTGTGTGATCTATAATCTACATTATAAAGTGAGATGATAAAAATAAACATCATGTAGAGACTTGAAAAAATAATCTTCATCCAACTTTTTCTTGAAAAAAGTATTTCAAAATGGGGCTGTCTGAGATTCCCTTCTCAGACTACTGAAAGGATTAGCTCAGAAATTTCCGATTATGTTGAATTCCTGCTTAAATTCACCAGTAAGTTTTTGAATTTACTATTTTAAAATGTCTCAAGTACCAAACGATCATGTGTATCTGTAATTAGAAAGACTTGATTGAATATATCTTGCTGTTCATCTCAAATCGCTTAATGCGAGACACATCAATTTTATTCTATCAGAGAGATATAATTTAAAAACTGTACTACGAACCACATAAACAAATTTTTGTTGCTCTAAGAATTAGTTATTGACCATTGAGATACAATTTCATTCATTAATACGAATCAAATGCTCTGGTTTTTTATTTGACATTATCTTTCATCAGTGGACAAATGAACTGAAGCCTCTTGGAATTATACTAAAACTATGGGAGTAGAGGGTTGTTTGTAGTAGCTTTAGTTATTACACGATGAAAGCTCAAAGCTTAGTCACTTAACCAAGAACAATATGAAGATTGTTGAAGATTTACTGGGTTCATTATAGAGGCTGGAGGAGACGGATAAGTAATGTCTGTATGTTTTGACTTATACGTGGTTATATTTTCCCGATTAAGAAATAAAATAACTTGTAGACGACTTCCGTGAGGTTTGTTTGCACCTTGTCAGATGATTATTCGATTTTCCCTTAAGCTATCTGTTTGCGACAAAAAAGAGTTCTTTGAAAACTGACCGAGAATTAATCACAGTTGTTCTAACCTCGTACTCTGCTTCATTCTTGTTAAGAAAATTTATAAACTAATGATATTTTTATTTCTGTCAAACTTATTTATATTGAAGATCAGACCATTTGTACAATCAAACAAACTTAAATACTTCATCATAAAATCATTACTATAAGTCATATTTTTACATTCACTAGGATAAACATGGATATCAAGTACATTTGATAAGAAAATACTTCACAACAAACTTACCAAGATAATAATTAATCCCACTGAAATTTCTTTTCAATAAATCCAATTACTTTACAACTTATCTGCTATAAATAAAATCCTTATAATATGAAAAGAAGTTCTTACACTTCAGTGCTGTTTTACAACACAAATGTATGTACTTAACTAGTTTCATTTCAAAAAAAATAATGCCGAGCAAACATTTTGTGTAAATAAAAGATTATATTACATGATATCATGATTATTGATCGTGAAGATGATTATAATTAGAAGACAGTATTAAATCTATTAATGTTAAAAGATTTCTGGCATTCAACCTTGTGATTTGTACAAATTTCTGAGTAGTTAACGTTGGAAAATGAATGAGATTTATGTTGGAAAATAAGTTTATAATGTAAATATGAAAATGAAACCAATGTAACATTACTTTGCAGTTAAAACTATTTCGGTACTACTTGTTACTTTTTTCGATAATTCCTAAAATCAAAATATGATTACGGTGATTAAGGTTGCCCTTTTACTTTAAAACTGCTGACTGAAATACACTCAGTTAAATAAGAAATGCGTATTGTTTAATGATTGACTTCCAGACAAATTACTGAGGCACTGATGTGAAGTTCTTATCATAAATGTGTTACGTTAGGCGCTCGTTCGACTCTGCTACTGATATACAAACGTTTAATACATAAGTCTATCCTACTGTTCGTGTGAGATAACCAAAAGTAGGTAGAAAGTTTTAGTTGACTACACCGAATCAAATTAAACGGACAAAATTATTTATTGATATAAATATGAGCCTCTAAGAAAACCTAGCTAGATTTTCAACTACTGGAGTGGACTTTTACCCTCGGAAAATTGAGTCGAATTTCGACCAATAATATGTACCTATTCGGACATCCTATTCTTTATTAAGCCTTGAAATGAAGTGTTTAATTGCCTTACATGTAAAACCAAGGACTATGAAGTAAATGGTTTTGTAGAATGATATGGTGACAACTATACAAAAATATCTGGAACTGAATAGTAGTTCACTTTTATTTACTACTTTCCATAAACAATCAACCTGCAATGACAAATAATCAATTACATATTGCCTTATTACCAAGAAGTCAGTTTCATCATCACTAGTAGATCTCAAAAGTTTCAGTGAAGGAGGGCATTGTCGGTAGCTTGGAATCGTTCGGCTTTTATTGGGAACTATTCACGTTTGTTTTTTAGTGAATCTGAACGAAAAAGCAACTCTAATGACAGACATTACGAAAAATGTTTCAAAAAAGAGGAGCATTACATCACAGTAAGGTATGATAGTACTGTTGATATTCTTATTTTGAAATAATTCAGTGCTCTAGTAACGGTACTTTCATATCTTCCTTAGTTGCCGGCACTCGTTTGGCTCATACAACGTGTTTTTGTGCTTTACTGTTCATAAATAACCTCTGTTTAGCCATTCCCTCACATATCTGATTTCGTGTCACTTACAGTTTCTTCATGTATGTATCGTGATTTCTCATTTGTGGCATTATACGATCAGGTATTTTATGTACGTCATCATATCAGTTTTCAAGTAAAAGTAACAATAAGACAGTAGAGAAGATGTCTGATCACTTATTGCATCTTCGGATGTATACATATGTAAGACCAGTTGCTGAGGGCTTTGTTTGTGAAAATCCCTCCATGTTTATGTTTAATTCGTTCTTATTGATTCCTCCTCTTGTACATATCGTTATTCTAAACTACCTAGATAGTTATTCTACAGACCGAACCTCAGTTTTGATCAAACATATATGTATATATATCATCAATCAATCAATAGCAACGTAGAACTTCGTACGTACGTACATCAGTTCATGTTGCCGTACCACATTAGTACAGAGATGTAAATGTCAACTCAAATCCAACAGTAGTAGAGGTAGTAAAGGTAGTCGGAGAGGTTAGGATTAGAAGATATTATTCAAGAAGTAGGATCTAGTGAAATAGGCTTAAAAAGATAATGATAAAGTGATGGAGAATTAAAAGGTTTATTGTTTGAGTGAACACAAGGGATGAATGCACCGGCGCCATTGCAAATGGTTTTGAGCCATGTCATTTAGGCTATCTAATCATCGATTACAACCATATCGCGGACCCCAACCAGATAGTTGACACCGACCGACATGACTCAGTCCGCTTGTCAGTGACTTCATGAATTTCTGCCATGTTTTTGACTGACCGCCCCTAGCTTTTGTCCAACCTATTCCTATACCGCAAAATATAGCTCAACGAGGCAGTCAGTGGTTAGTTATACGCGATACATGTCCCAACCACCTCAACTGTTGAAGCTTCAATACTTCATCTACTGACCTGCCATCATTACCTAGCACCCTTTTCCTAACAATAGCACTGCTCACTCGCCTGTCCCAGGATATACGAGCAATGCTTCGAAGACACCTATGAAAGAAAGCCAGTAACCTACGAATATCTTCTACTCTCACTGGCCATATTTCACAGCCATAAAGTAAGGCGGAGCAAACTACTGCACAGTACACTCGTCCTTTAGTCAGCAAACGGATATCTCGCCTACGCCATAAGTGACGCAGGTTATCAAAAGCCAATCGAGCCTTCTGCAGCCGAGCTGAGATTTCGTCAGTAACCAGGCCATCAGCACTGATAAGACTCCCAAGATAAGTGAAGCGGTCTACACACTCGACTACTTCACTCCCTATCACTAGTTCAGGTGCCGATGCAACTCAGTCTTGAAGCAACATTTTGCATTTCGAGGGGGAAAACCGCATCCCGAACATGCTTGCATTGTTGCTTAGGGTAGTCAGAAGACTCTGCATTTTGTCAGCTTCTTCACCAAACAGAACTATGTCACTGGCATATTCTAAGTCAATAAGTGAGCCTCCCTGTAGAAGGTCTACTCCTGAAAATTCAGACGAAGATAATGTTATTTCTAGAAGCATGTCTATGACATGGGCATCCATGACAGACACTACTTGAAGTAGAGAATTTCTGTGGCAGTTCGCCATAAGTTCTCACTCGACCAGTGGTGTTCAAGTAGAGAGCTTGTATAAGGTTGATGTTCTCCTTTGGTACACCTTCCAATGACAGATACTGCCACAGAACCTCACGATCAACAGAGTCAAATGCCACTATTATATCCAGGAAAACAAATATTGTCAGGCTTCGGAGTGTGTTTGTGTTCCAGGACCCGTCGTAGTGTGAAGATAAGGTCTATATAACGACGTCCAGGTCGAAAACCAGATTGGTTTTCTCGAGTCTGCTCTTCACGAGCTTTCGTTAGGCGCCGAAGTATTATTGAGGCCAAAATTTTCGATACTATATTAGTTAGACTGATTCCCCTGTGATTGTCACAAGAAGACTTTTGTTCTTTCTTATTGATTGGGACAATCAAGGATTGAGACCAGTCGGATGGGATTACGTCCAGTTCCCAGATTCTACCTAAGATCTCAGTCAACCTAGCTGCTAAATTTGGACCACCATCCTTAAATATCTCAGGAGTCAGTCTATCAGGACCTGCAGCTCGCCCTCGCTTCAGATTTCCTATCGCTTTAAAACTTCATAAAAAGTCGGGGGACTTAAGCCGGTTTGCCATTCAAGATGACTGAATATCTAGGAGAACCGAAGTGTGGCTCGAGGCCAGTTGAATTGGTCCCTAATGTGTTCTGCCTTTCGGTCCAGTCTCTTGGATTGAGAATGGATAATAAGACCATCCTTTCTGAGATAGTCTCACTCACATTCGGCTTCCGATTACCGGTTTCCTTGATCAGTCTGAAAAGTTGCCTACTGTCGCCTATCGCCGCTGCCTTTTCCATCTTTCTCGCCTTTGCAAACCATCAGTCTTCTCGATCAGTGCGTAGGCTACTTATCACCCTGCACCTAAGCTGACTCCTCTCCTCCTCGCCCTTAGAGCCAGGTGGGATACGTTTGCGAGCTTTCTTCAGTTCGGTAGATGCTACGGAGATCCACGGCTTCATCCCAGCCTTATGGTTTACCTTACTAGAAGATATCACTGCTGTTTCCACAGCCTTTTTGATATGATTCCAACCTGCTTCCGGATACGAATCACTTGCATTGTTGCGTAACTCTCTTCCTAGTAGCTCCAGAGATATATTCATAGCTCTGTTATCATTGGGTAGAACCTTAAGAGGTTTCCTTGCGGTGTCTTTTCTATCTCCATTAAGGCTCAAGCAAATACGCGCTCGCACTAGGGCATGATCTGAATCTAAACAAGTTCCCCAGAGCATAGTTGCAACAGACGGTCACCACTGTCTGTTCTCTGAGCGGCGACACCATAAGATCCACCAAGGTGTCCTTCAGTTTCACCCAGTCTACCTACCTGAGCTTTAAAGTCACCAGCTATCATTACTATATCAGAGCGCCTAGCTTTTTGTTGAACTCATCTTTCCCCTCGTCTGAACCGCAGTCAGACGGAGCGTAGGCAGGTACGACGAAAAGGCGACGGCGGGTGTCCCTATCTTTCCGAGTCCTTACTGTCCCATTCAATCGGACTGCGCACAGACGACTTTGTACAGGGATCCAGTCTAGGAGAGATAGTTCAGCCCTACGACTCAATTCTATACCTACGCCAGCGAGACTCCGGGAGGCAGCATCATGACTACTGTATACACGAAGTGTAAATCGAGCTGCTTCTTTATTTTGACAAGGTGAAATCAGATTCATAATTTTACTAGGATCCTGTATGCGCGTTTCCGAGACGCAGCATACATCGATGGAACGAGATTCTAAAGTCCTAGCTAAGAAAGCCTGTTGCCCTCTTCGACACAGTGTCCTTACAATTAAAGCTCCAACATGTAGTCTAGAACTGCGTTTCAAGAGACCAGGAATGACGTTTCGTGAACTTGAGTTATTGCATTAGTGGTGCAGTGAGATAAAGGAATGTGTGTAGAGTTAGTCATGGAGATAAGAGAGATATTAGGGGGTGTAGAAAGGATTTGATTTTGACCAGTTTGGTCCCTCGTGCTATTACGGGTTGAGGGCGGTCGTCACTTCCCGGCTGCCCACACCGTGGAAGGTTGTTTCTTGAGGAACCTGAAGCAGTAGGTAAATCGGTGCTGGTCTTGGAGACCTGAGAGCGTGACCGCAGAGCCCAACGGACAACTGCTTGAGGCCAGTCACGAACGGCCTTTTTATGAGAAGTTTTTTGAGTGTTAGCTCCGCTCTTGAAAGCCCTTAGGGGGCACCATTACCGACAGAGACTGAAATCCGTGAGGTAGGGTGAGGTGTGACATTTTAGGGTAGACCTTTTCTAACACTTCCTTCCTTTTGCGAAGGAAGCATTGCTGCAGATGCTGGTTGTCCGAGGGAAACACCTTACTGCTGTCACACACCTCTGAAGTCAGCAGTACGACTTCACCCTCTGACCTTGAGTAGCTGCTTTTAGTTTCATCGTTGTGCAGTCGACCTGCCTGGCATGGTAGAACCTACAAGAACATATTATTATATTATATTATATTAATAACAATTGAATGTAATTGAGAGGTACAAATGAAACCTGTTAGTATCAAAATACTATTATGGATAAATCATGAAAATCAGGAAAATGTTTCCGAATACGAAACAAAATGTAATAATAAAAGTTTAAAAATAAGAACAAAATGTACTTCTTTTGTACACAAAGTTCTGGCTTCGCTTCATGGATTGCGAGAGCTTCTATTGCTTTAAGTGGTTGGATACTGATAAATCTAGTTGTACTTGGACAGTTTGTGTAAGCAACCTTAAAACCAAACTGTGAATCAGAGGAGTGAATGAAATCAATTAAATGTTCAAGAATGGAAACTCTAGCTGCCGTCTTCTCACCTTTGTAGAATAGGGAATTTCTTGTATCACTTTTAAAAGTAATCTCTTAGAAAATGACAGAACGAAATCCAAGTTTCCGTCCATGGTTTTAACCAGGTGAGTAAGAAGCACCTACCTACGGAGAAAAAATGCCGCTCAGGAGTAAACTTTATGACAGATATTACTATTTCTTTCACTAAAAGGAAACATCATTGTTTTTATTATTTTTAATTATGTAACTTAGAGTACATATATTACACTACAGTCCCAAAAAATAGTAACTCGCATTCCCCATCAGTGGTCCACATGTACTTCAGGATCCTGACGAACCTGATGGTGCATGAATCTGTTGTTGGTCACTATCCACCATGCAACTGCATTCTCTAACAAAACAATAAATTACGGAAGATCTTTGGGCGAGGTTAAACTGACCTAGAGAATATTCACTTACTGGAGTTAAAAGAGGGTTAGTGTGGGGAATTCGAGAAATGACTTGGAGTTGCAGATCTTCATTACTAACTGATATCATCTTCATTGCAAAATTTCATTGAAGTGTGTGGATAGATGAATTTTGTGCCAAAATCCAACACTGTCTATCTCAAACACTACTGGTTTTTTCATAAATTATAGTCTCTTCAAGCGTGACATTCGTTACTTGTTTGTCTAGAACTTATACACCTGTTCACCAGTTATGTATTCCGCAATTCTTAGATTTCCGACAACAATGTTTCGTTACACTCGGATTGTATGACTTACCATTTCTAGTTCTTTGATTACGTAGCACAGCTTTGCGAAACATGAAAAATAGCACTGCTCTTTTAGTCTGGCAAATTGAAAACATCTGACAAATTATCTCGAGGTACATTACATGACAAATTATATTCTGTGAAAATCCACATCTCCTTACCCAACTGGCGTAAATGATTTTTAAACGATCGGTACAAAATTTCTAAGCTTGACTCAAAGATATCAACACTTCAATGGGTAACTGACGGAGTTATGCAAAGCATTTTCCTAGGCCCTCGTGCATTTGCAATATACATCAATACTATTTACAGTTATATTACCTCCTCTATGCGACGATCACGTTAGTGAATCTATTCATTTCACAGAGACGAATTGTAGAACAACGGTAATTATATTCAACAGGAATGAGTCAAGGTGACAGAGCAGTATAAAAAGTGCCAATTGGAACCAAATATTAACAAGTGCACTTGAAACCCGATGGGATACATAAACCTAAGAATGCAGTTTGAAGTCGGTGATCAACCACTTATGCGAATGTAAACCTGTGTTAGACCTTAGCTTATGATACTTCATTAGTCAAACATTTTCAAACACTTAGTGTCAATCAGTTTAAAGGTATGCAAACTCATGAGTTATATAGTTTACGATTTCTAGGGACGTGGGTTTAGGTTGGTACTGTGTGAAGTCTAAGTCTGCCTATAGCCTGTGCATTAAGCAACAGATTGGGACTAGAACTTAAGGCGCTAAATATACTTGCAGTATACTCGATCCTAAGAGCATCTAAAGACATACTCGGACCAAAAATCTTCAAGGTAGCCTTAGACAACAGTATGATATATTATTACTTTGTGTTGTATACTGTCTAACTAAACTAACTACAGGCAGACCGGCTGAGTAAATAAATATATACTGCAGAGGCGAACCAAGAATATGTAAAATAATGTATTTGGTTCTCGGAAATATATTTATATACTATTGGCTGTTTGTTTTAATTGTTTTATTTTTCATTTTATGGATGCATACTTGTTGCGAGATCAAGAAATCGAACGGAAATGTACTATTGGCCATACCATCGACATCAAATATACTCAGAAGGTTTCGCCTATCTCTTCTGAATAAATTACCATAATACAGTACTCATAAAATTTACCCAGAATATGAGCGCACGCCGTACATCGTAATTGTCTTCATAAAAATTGAGTCAGTACAGATAATTAAGGGATTGACGCACTAATACCCTAGGAATTCTTTTGTAACATTTCATTTCAACGTCATTGCCCTCAAAACTATGGCACTATCACACAATGGAGAGTAGCTGGACCAAAGTTAAGCGTAGGTAGCAACTAATTCTCTCCTCAATCTTCAAAGGAGGAGATAGGAAAGACAGAGTCTGTCACAAAACGGTCGCGTTACTTCTAATATTTTTCGAAGGTAATGGAAGGACTGATGAGTAAACAGATTAGGGAGTACATGGATAAGAAGAAAATACTTGATCAAGCTCAGTATGGGTTTCGAAAAGAAAGGTCGTGCTCATCTCGTCGTCTCATAGCACCGGACAGTTGGATATCTTGCTTGAACAGAAAAATACCGGTGTAGATAATGTTTCTAGACTTTGAAAAAGCTTCAACACGCCAAATAGGAAAGGTTGAGGAAATGAATTTCACTGACCCACTCGTATCTTGCCTCAGAAACTACCTTGACAATAGCAAGTGAAGTGAATAGAATGCACGCGAGTTGGTGAGTCTCGACATCTTGAGTTTCACAGGGGACCATCTTAGGTCCACTTCTATTCCTGATATTTAGTAACGACTTGTTATGTACAGTTCGCCCACCAGAATTGATCAACGCAGACGATGCAAAGATCTGGAGATCAATTAGAAGCGAATAGGATTTAAGTGGGCTTCAAAAGTAACTTACATCCGTTGAGGAATGGGTAGTGATAAACGGATTAAAAATAAACCAGCCTAAGTGTCACTTCATGGACATTCTGCCCCACATAACGCAGACGATTCCCGCCTCAGTGGAATTCCTCTCCCTAATGTCTCCTTACAGCGCTATCTCGGTTTAATAACCACAGAAAACCTCCAAACAAGCCTAAACTATACAGGTGACGCAACCAAGGAAAATGCGACTTTCACCTTATGAGAAAACAGCTTGGTGCTGTCACCATAGAATTCTTCTTAACGTTGTTGAAGACATATTCACGCCAACGCCTTGAGGTTAATAATACCGTCATACCCCATTTCCCTAAAATCGACACAGAACTCTTGGATCAAGTGCAGAGCCGAGCAACGCAATGGGTGACAGGCTGGAAATATATCACTTACATGGATGGACTCCAGCATTTTGGATTTTTCCTTTTGAGTTACAGGAGAATCCGAGGTGAGCTGATTATATCGTACAACATAATCAGGACTCCAAACCATACCAACCTGAGCATCTTACCGATGCATCAGGTTTGTGCACACTTTTTCTCATTAAGGGTTATTACAATTTGAAATGGTCTCCCAGCAGAGATGACCACATCCTCCCTCAGTGGACAGCTGTAGGAAGAAACTTGATAAATTTAAAACAATAAGTTCCTTTTACAAATTTTGATAGAACAGTGAGAAGACGTAATTGATCTGAAAAATGTGATATATTTGCGCTGTACATTTCGAACAATCTGGTCACACATACTTACTTGTCAAGCCATTCTATATGAAGATGAATAAAAGGTCAGTTAAATAAAAGTTCAAATAGACATAGGGTGATAATTGTGAATAAAAGAGCGAGAAAATTAACGTAATATGAAAAGATTCAGAAAGGGTAGGAAATTGTCATATTACCCTCACAATCTTCACTACTATTTGTTAGAATTAAATTATCCATTTATTTACGTATTTCTGAGATATTCTTCTGATTAGCAATACAATCCCTCCCTACTATACTCCACATTGCATATACTGATCTTCGGTCAGGTAATGTGAAAGCTGCTGGTATCCAGAAACCCCACTACCCTGATACAAACGGTTTCATAAAAATCACTGGACATACAAACTCACAAATATCTGTGAACTGACTGGAATTAGATAGTTCATTAGCGAGACGCCCATCCATTAGACGCTAACAAAGCCTTGGAACCTTAACGAAAGAACAAGAATCGATCGAAGAGAAAACCATTGGTTTATACTAACTCGTAAAAAAGATATTGGATATTGGATTGGAACTCACTTTAATAATTCAGATACAAAAATAAATTAACTGTTTTCATCACGTAAAAATTAAATTCATAGATTTTATTAGGATCTTTTGATTTCTTCTTTACTTTTGAAAGGTATTCATTGAGCGAGTGAAGCTGTTCTGTGTTTATCCGCTCAACTATCTACCACTTCAAGGACGAGAACGCGAGACTAAAGTATGTGGGTTGTTTGAAAAATAACGCTGTTTTACTTTTTGTCGATAAGAACATCCGCATAGTTTCCTATTAAAACGCTAAAGTTTTTAATTCAACACTCGACCTGTCGATTACCATTGTTCGTTCTCCTATCATGACATCAAAATGTACGATTTTGTTACCAAATGTAGAAGTTCTGTTAAAAGTACTGTTTACTAAAATATCTTGTGTAATGTATATATATGGTTGCTTGGTTACGTATAGACGTACCTTTAACATGTTTCGTTTACATATAAATGATCATATATCCCGTTTAATTTTTTGGATTATTGTATCGCCTTCAGACACTTCGGAAATAGTAGTTATGAGGAAGTCTGCGTTATCCATAAATCTCAAGTCCAGTACAAAATGTCAGCTAATCACTGTTGACAAGGGTATTTGCCTTGATTCTGAACTATAGAATTAAGTAGGGCTGTTCATATTTCTGTACAAGTTTCCTGGGACCTCATCTACGTACAAGTGTCTGCCATAGAAGTATATAACGTTAAAACTTTAATTAAATGACTATTTACCGGTGAAAAACATTATAATTATTGGCTAAGTATAGACCTGTAAGCGAATTATACACTATATACAACGACCAGTCAGTTTCAACGTATGGCTTGCTTTAAATAAGCTCTTGTTCTAACTCATACATTGCAAGCTCTGTAATTGAGATAGCGAAATCAACCAGTTATGTCTTACTGATTTTTTTGTTATTTAATTAACAAAAGTTAAGTTGGTATATAATGTTGTTAATCGTAAGACTGGTGTCTGAGTTAAAGGTTTTTACCTCTTCACACAACTTTACTTCTCACCAAAACGCTTCGATTTATGTACGTATTTGTTGTTTTGGATCCTAGCGTGTCCAAATGAACTTATACAAGGCCTAACTGTTAGCTTACCATCAATAACCTGACTGGCTAAAATGACTATATTTGATCGTAAGTCTTAATATACATGAATGTAGACCGGGGAAAAATGAAGATAAAAACAATAACCGTCGGCTATTAACTCTATCGTGTTCTTTTACATTAGCTTTTCGTCGTTCTTCATTTTACAAGGCTGACCAGTTTTGTACTGGAGTTTAATTGCTTGGTATGCAACAAGAACAGTGCAGTACGTTAGCATAGGTCGGTAGTAAAACTTCTCAATTTGCAACCGTTATTTGCATGTCTAAATCTTACTTTTCCTCACAAGCAGCGTAATATCACTAACTAAAAATGTATGGCTCAAGTTCAAATTCAGGGCTTATATTAGCTATCCAGTTTTGATAACTAAAGTTGGTCATTTATGTATGTAAATGAAGCACAAATATTGGCACTAGTAGGCACTAAAGCAAATACGCGCTACAACAAAGATAAAAAAGAACGGTAAGTATAACAAAAGAAATAGCAATCATTAAATGATGGTAACGCTAGTGATGGAAATAGTTCGGTTAAGGAAAATGCAACCAAAAAGAATCTTTTGAATTAAAGTGGCTCTTCTTACTAATGTGACAAGAATACAAGAAATATACAGCAGAACTGACACTGACTTCTATTCTTACCCATATCTTAGTTGAACGGTTTCTAAGGCCGACAGATGCCAGTCTTATACAGCCTCCTTTCATGCCGCAACACCATCTCATCATACACTGACCACCTCTCCTCCTTTTCTAACATGTCCCGGCATCGGTAAATAATACGTGATGTAGAATTCTCTGGGATGCATTCGTAGTACTTGTCCAAGCCATTCAAGTCAGTGTTTCAAAATCGTGACACCAATTGATTTATCGTTGCTCTGCTACAACATACGTTATCGAAAATCTGCAATAGTGACACGGTGTTGCCACTGAATGTTAGTAATCCTTCGGAGAGAACGATGGTAGAAAACAGAAATTTTTCCAGGCTTTTCAATTCCGAGATACTAGGTTTCAAAAACATAGCATAACCGCTCTCACCGACGCATTGTCGACCCGACCTATTTCAGCCAGACTAACCTCACGAAGATGCCAAATATGTCCCAGATTGGCATAAGCCTCTGGCTTTGACTAAACGTGGATCAATCTCATCACTCAATGGACCACCGGCACTTACGCAGGTACATGAAATTTTCGACTACCCCTATCTACTCACTACCAAAAGTAAGTGTAGGTACTTTGCAGTCAGGTGCACAGCACATGCGATATCTATAGACAATGATTGCTAACTGATTAAGTGCGCTTTACATGGCTTGGAAATCTTAGCACAGTAAAATAACATCGTCCACATACTCAAGGTTGAAAAGTTTCTCCCGGTAGCATATCCACGCTATGGTTACCTACATCCATCAAAGCTGTTTCCGGAATGTCATCGATGGGAAAATTGGAGAAAAATGGTGAGACTGAACAATCCCCTATAACTCAACGACTTGAATGAAACAATGAGCATAGGTAGTTGTATGCCCTCACTCTATCTGAGTTGGTTGTATTTGCGGTCGTGAAGATGTTAGCAAACTCAGACACAGCCTTCTTTATCAGACAGTCCCAAAGAGTAGTCCTGTCCAACCAGTGGAAGGCTGGTTTGATGCAAAGAAACGTAAGATTGATGGCCTGCGTTACTTGTGGTGGTGCTATAGCATTTGTTGGGGTCGAAGAAACGATTGATACCTGATCGATGAGATCGAAAACCAACCTGCCCCTCGTCAGCTATTCTTTCTCGAGTTTTGAACAATCTGCGAAGTATGACGGGAGCAAATAATTTGGACGTGATCGATAGTGAACCGATTCACTGATATATATCACAGATGAGGTGAACTTTTTTTAGAGATAGGGACATCTATGGAATCATTCCAGGACGTTGTAACACGCTAGTTGCCAAGCCGTCTTAAAACAGTCAGTCTAATAGCCAGAGGGTCGCAAACATTTTTAAAAAGAGCCGGAGGTAAGTCTTCTGATTTGTGACGCTTCAATAGTTGGAGTTCCTCGCAGACTTCCACTCCCTTAGGTGTATCAGTCGTCGTGGGTCATTGAGGACAGGACAGTCTGATCTTTGTCACCGAGGCAGCAGACCAATTGAACTGGTCCTCAAAAAACTCCATCGTTCGAGACGTTGGCGGATAAGATCGACGTATCTTAGCAAGTTGTAAGTAGCCTGCAGTAACCAAATGCTTATGAGCAGGACGTTTTGCATAGCCGCTAGCGACTTTGCTCGCCATTTTCATAGAGTCGTGCAATCGCAGCCAGTGCACTTGAGTACTTTTTGGTTGGTTGATAACTAGCTCGGCTTAATATTCAGTTGCAATGTAAGCTACAATCGATTCACTAACATCAATCCGCTTAAGACAATGAATTTGTAGACCACTGAAACTTAAGACAAGCGCAAACAAGGTCATGATCAGAGTCCAGATAAGTACTCCTAAAGAACCGGCAGTCTTTTACACAACCATACCAGTGTTAGTTAACTGCAACGTGATCAATCTGAGTCCAGGCTTGAGATTCATAGGGAAACCATTAGATAGCAGATCAGCTATGACTGCCAGTAGTTAATGCTGTCTCGAAACAGGCTTTAGTATAGGCAAATATGAAGCAGAATATCACCGTTACCTGATCTGTGACCAACAAGTCTCCATTGGCCACCCAGATTGTTCTCCTCTGCCTAGACACCTGGTATGTGCGTTCAAGTCTCCGGCTAGTACCAAGATGTCTGTCGAACGCACTCTGTAGAGTTCACCTAATTAGCAGTAGGACTCACCATTGATTGCATCTGGGCCTCAGCCTGTCGCATACTAGGAAGAGATAAACGAAAAGGCATCTTTTTTCACTTTGATTTTTCCCCACTTTGATGAAGCTCTCTAATCTAACAGCACATGAACGGCTGTTACTATGAATCAAGTTGATTAGCGCTGCTTCCTCTCAAGCACGTAGTCAGACAGGATTGTCAGCAAGACCAGATGAAGGCGCCATAGAGTCTCCGGATAAACGCAAGCTAAACAAGCTCTTCGAAACATCTGATGGATAACGAATGTGTAGAACGTCACTGGAGTCTTGAACACGAGTCTCCAGTAGACAACAGACATCGACGTTAAGACTTTCCAAAGACATAGCTAACCCTACTTGTTGTCAGACCTGCATTAGTGTGCTAACGTTGAAGGAGGCCAGTATGACTGGTATAAGTGGTTTAAGAAGGGCAGTTGTGGGGTTCGTATTCGATGGGAGCGCTCAGATTTCGACCAATCAGATACTTGAGATTGTTTATGTAGGACAAGGTTCTCACCATAGGTGGGCTGCTGCATAAGTTGGAGTGTAAGTGAAGCACAAAATAGAAATAAGGAAGCAGCGCAACGTAAAATAAGATTGAATGTTATTAGAATGATTGTAAGTACGGTTTATGGGAGTGAGAGTTGAAGTAAGCATAAAATTTACCACTTTTGTCATCATTTAGTTTTTGTGTCTGCTTATGATGCTGCCCAAGGTGACCGAACCGAAGTTCGTGGTTATCTTAGGAGACTACTCCCCGAGCATTTGTTCTAGCGATCCAGTCCAGAAGAGGGTGGGGCAAATGGTCAACAAACATCCTATCTCATTGTAGCCAGTCACTAACAATAGATTCATACGCTATTTGCTGTCTCTTGATTCTGCAATCCATGCTAGTCACTGTTTGGAATGAGGATTCGCCAACTTCCCTAGATGGATTCTCCGTGCTCACCGACCGTGTTTAAGCCCTTGCCGTATATTCGCATCTCGTTCTCTCAATTGCCTAAACAACACTCCTGTCACCAGAAGGTAATGAGTAGGACTTCCCTGTCAGTGGCTATATATGCGTAGCTGTGTGGGAGCATTTGAAGAGGGAGAGTGAACTCTCCGCTCTCGATCATGTCAAAGCATTTTGGAGCAAAACATTGCACTCCGAAAAATGTTCTAAAATGCGCATATAATTGTTTTTATTTCCAAACAAGTTAGCTTTTATACTTTCGACTGCATTTTATCATCATCTACAATCTTCCCTGATAATCTAGCTGGAGTTTATTTGATTTTCTGTACATAGGTCAAGTCGAAAAATTTAAGTCCAGTGTTTCAGTTAACAGCCTTTCCCACTGATTTCTTTTCATTCAACCTATTTCTTTATATGAAATTTGTAATCTACTCAGTTTGGTACAATGACTAATCGATTTTCCCGTACACAAGTCTAGCATTTCTTAATCAGTTTGTTTGCCTGTTTGATTGTATGTATTTGCATCTTAGTTATATGTTTTCATTTCTTTTTAACCTACGCTTTGGATTCTGAAGCTATCAAGTATTCCTGTAAACAAATGTAAGTTGGGATATCATTATGGCTTCTTATGCAGCAGAAATGCACGCTTCTCCCCGTCGTGAAGTCTCACATTATAAACAGTTTCAAAATTCATCTGACTCGTATGGTAACAAAGCAAACTGTGAGTTCTCTTCACAATGTAAAAACAGTAGTTGCAATATTTTATAAAAGTTTATTGGACGAAAATTAGTTCACTGAGGCCACCTTACTTTAAGACACATAGGAACTTTGATTTTATGGCTGTTATTGGTCGTTCAATCAACCAATCAATCCATAGCATGGTCGAACTTCGTACTTAAGTACGTGCGTGCATGTTGTCATACCACGTTAGCATAGAGATGTTATTGTGAATTCAAATCCCCTAGTAGTAGAGGTAGTAAAGGTATTAGCCTGTCGACCCTTCGAGGCTACTGCCGGTCTCAAGCTCGGATAAAGGGGGATGGTCGAGATGTGCGCTGGTGACCCCATCTCGGAAAAAACTAACTTGCCAAATAAACTATAACAAGAAAAATATAATTCAAACCATATAAACTGTGCTCTGGTAGTTAGAAGGTTTTCATTTAGAAGAATTATGACGTCTCATGATGAAATTCGATTTCCTTAGGAAGTCATGAGGTTCCTTCTGACAACCAGAACCCTTCCACGGTGTGGGCAGCCGGGACGTTACGTCCGCCCTTATACCCATAAAAACACACGAGTCCAAATTGGTCACAATCAAATTTGTTGTCAGATTTATCACATAAGCTTCCAGGATAAAAATAGAGAAGTTGACAATTGTAAACTGGCTCTTGTGCTCCGACTATGAATTACCTGTTCCTATAAGGCTGATTGTACTACCCTAGTAATGCCTTATCACTTCACTATATAATGGAGATTTGTTTTTTTAGTAAGCTATCACTCACAAATTCAGAATGTGGCCTCTCAAGCCAAAGATAATTAAGTTAATAGTACCAACAAACTTAACACAAGTGTGTCCGTTCAAGCTGCTTCATTCCACACCAATACGGAAAGAACGAATCAACAGGATGAGACTCAAATGCAAGAAGAAAGTATCTGATGCGATTTTTCCAAAAAACCACTCAGTACTAAAAGCCACTTGTAGTCGAAAACACTTCAAGCTGGCTGTACTAGTTTGACTGATCAATTATAGTGCTAAACATCAATAAGATTAATCAAAAAGTAATAAGCCACTCATTTGAATCTTAAATCAGTCTTGACGACTGTTTGTCGTCTTTATATGTTTTGTTAATTCTGTTGCAATCCTTTTTATTTCCTAGCATCTACTCATTCTAACGATAATTATAAAAGTCCGTTCGAACGAACTAATCAATCAGTTTCATCTTACTCAGACATGAATCCTGTAACAAGCCAACTACAACAACAGCATCCACAATACCATTCTTCAGATCTGTGTAGTTTCCAATGTCAGCCAGAGTCCAATGCGAGGACGCTACCTAATTTCGAAACTACGAATTGTATTCCTTCAGTTTATACAAGTCCAGACTATAATTTAAACAGTCCAGACTTATACACACAAACCAATCACCTACAATCTTATATACATCGTGTATCTTGCTGTTTGCCTCAATGTCCACAATGCCCTCCATACAATCTTTTTTCTCAATCTTTTTCAAACAATGGAGCAACTTTACAACCATCTTTACTATTATCTCCAACTGTATTGAATAACTATTCCAATTCAGCACTGTGTTTTCCGTCAACTGCTCAAATGCCATATTATTTTTGGTACAATCAGGATCCTGAATATCAGAAACAATATTATCAAACTCAAATCAATATGTCTAAGTTGAATCTAGACCATTCATCTCCAAATACATGTATGATGATTCAATCAGAATCAGATCCTATGCGCGGATCTGTGCCGAATCAAACACATCAAACTGAAACAAATTATTCCATAGATCCAAATGCTTTTGCTTCAGTAAGTGTGTCTGATTCATGAATGTGTATATTGCTGTTGTGTCTACTGACATCAAGACTTGAAATATTGAATTTACTAGTTAGTTAGTTAGTTGGTGATATTGATACTATAGTCTCTGATGTGAATGTTGTTTTTAGTAATAACATCAGGGAAAAATATAATTTCTGGGTAAAATAAATAAATCTGAGAAAATGGGTTATTATTGTTTCTCTTAGCATCTTTCAGTCACGAAATATAGTGAAAGTTTTAAGGTTTGTGTAAAACCGACTTAAAAATTTTCTGTCATTCCGATTGGTCCACTAGCAGTGTTTGGTTAAAAAATGGACCAATCAGTGTGCAATCTGTTGGTCGACCTTGCTAAGATGAGTAGAGTTCATATCACTCTATAATGTAAGAAGGTAAACATATGTTATATGCCATATGTATTTGATCAATACATTTATACTAGGATCATACTTAACTAAAAACAACACATATAAAGTAATATAAATGATAACTGAGCTAACAACACACTCTCAAAACACCAAGCCATCACCTAACAGACCGAATATATATTGGGAAATTTAAAGTCTTTTCATGTACGTGCCAAAATTTCTAACTTAGTTAAGGTTACCCAAGACGTTTGATCTCGCTCTCGAACGCTTAACTTCTAGATCACTGAGCGAACATCCAAGAGTGTTCATGTAAAATTCAGGATTTTTATTTGATCAAATGGAATATCTTACTTAACACAAATAGAATGATTTTTTTGGATACGTTTATATAATTAACCTAAACCCTGTGGTTCCATGGTTTCGAACTGTAAAATTTCTATTCATCGGAATACATATTTAAACACTATTTATCTATCCCAGTTTTCTTTGGACTGTTTACTTAGTTAATCTACAATAAATGTGCATTGGTTCAAGTCCTCAGATCAAATTAAAATAGAATGGTAAGACTATCAAGACAAATCATAAATAATAACGAAAATACCAGTAGTAGTAGCAGTATAGAAAATTGTAAAGTATGAGAATAAATTGCACCGTCCCCAAACAGGTAGTTTGAGGTATATGGCAAGTAGGCAAATGCAAGTCGCTTTAGTTAGAGGACATTCACTGCCTCATTGACCAGTTTGTTATTTTCACCCTAGTATTCTACCCCGGACTTAAACATCGCTCCTTCGATGCTCTCCACAAAAACGAGCTATTCTTTGAAAGTACATATGATCAATTATTAATAACTTACGATTATCCTCCAGCAGTCTTCTGTTAATTTCTTATCTCTGCACCACAATCATAACTTCATGCATAATTATATTCAAGTTTGTCAAATACACATACACATGCACGTGCATAACCCAGTCTAAATATGAGTGAATATATATTTATTTCCATGACATTGATCACAATGACTATCAGTTTATCTTCTCTCAAATTTTCATTTATTTTAAAAAGTTAAAAATATTTTTTTAAAAAAAACTTACATCATAATTTTATAAGTTTTACCAATTTCATTGAATTCCATAGGTATCTTTGTCAGGAACTTCTAATACAATTGTTCATCCATCTAGTTTAACTATGCCTATTGCTCAATCTGTCACTGTCGTTACCACTCTATCTACTACTACTACGATTACTACTACTAGTACTACTACTACTACTACTATAAATAATAATAATAACATATCTTCAAAAACAAATGAATCATGTGTAATCAATCAATTAGATTATTCCAATACTTCATTATATGCAAACAGTAACAGTACACCATTAAGCAATCAATTAAATGGAGGATATACAACACTCCCTATAGATGGTGTCTATGATCCAATCAACAGTGCATGGTATCCTGGTTATTGGAATTCTAATAATCTATGGATGTCAACAGCAACACCTCAAGGTAGTTATTTAACAACATCGTTCAATAATAATAATAATAATATTAATAATAATAGTAATAATACTACATCCTCTTCATTTTCACCTAATCCACAATCATTTAACACAGATGAATATGCAATTCTACATCAACAATATGTAAATACAATGAATAATGATTTTGCTGGTATTCTTAATACTGGAAATAATAATAATAATAATAATCAACTTTATCATTTAACCGATTTGACAACAAATTATACTAATCCATCAACAGATAGAATGATTACTGGTAATCAGCAACCACCTTTAACTAATTACAACAACTACAACTACAACAACACTGTTTCATCATCGTCATCATCATCAATAAAACTGGCTGTAACTTCTTTATCATCAACACCAGTTAGTAAATTCTCATCATCAGCATCATCATCATCAGCAGCAGCATCAACATATTCGTCGTCGTCAGCAGCATCCAATCAAACATTGTCATATTACACTAATCCAAAATCAAATTATTCTTTAACAAATTTACAAAATATTCAATATTGTTCTTATCCTCTATCATTTTACAACACCAACAATGTCAATATTATCAATAGTAATGATAGTAAAAACAATAATAATAGTAATAATAATCATACTGTTGCGTCTGTGGTTGCTCACAATAATATTCATAACAGTAGTAGTAGTAATAATAATATTAGTAACAACAACAGCACTAATGATAATATGCGCTTAATTTTAACCATATTAGCTAATTCACGAGCAAATACTACAGCAGTTGTTAGTCCAAATATTATGCCGAATCCTTATCGTTATAGTCCAGATCGTAATAGTTTATTGTGTAATAATCGTCAAAAACTATTGCCTATAGATCCAATTTCATGTAATACAAACATTACTCGATCTATGTGTAAAGTATTTTCACAATCTGAGTTGGCACGTTTAAATTTAAAGTAAGTATATATATTTTTACCATATATATATATATATATATATATATATATATATATATATATATATCTGCCGTATGCGGTAGAATACATGTCCTTGAATTTGTTGGGCATTTGTTATTCATATTTCAATATGTATCATTTTTCTGTCAGTTTATCGAGTAAATATTTCATTACTTACTTACTTACTTACTTACTTACTTACTTACGCCTGTCACCCTAATGAAGCATAGGCCGCCGACCAGTGTTCACCAACCTGCTCTGTCCAGTTCTATTCGGTTTTTGTTCATTCTTCTGATGTCTGTCTCCATTTCTTGGCGTAATGTGTTCCTTGGCCTTCCTCTTTTCCTTTGACCTCGAGGGTCCCAAGTGAGGGCTTGTGACGAAGTTGGGCGCTTTCCGTAATTTGTCCTATCCACTTCCAGCGCTTCTTCCTGATCTCCTCCTCCTCTGGAATCTGGTTTGTTCTCTCCCGCAGTAGGTTATTGATGATGGTGTCTGGCCAACGAATCTGAAGTATTGTGCTTAGACAACTGTTAAGGAATACTTGTACCTTCTGGATGATAGCTTTTGTAGTCCTCCAAGTTTCCGCCCCCATATAGTAAAACTGTTTTGACATTTGTATTGAAAATTCTGATTTTGGTGTTTGTGGATAGTTTTTTTGAGTTCCAGATGTTGTTTAATTGCTTTGCCGATCCGCGCCCTCATATCTGCATCGAATCCACCTTGGTTGTCGATGATGCTGCCCAGCTATGTTAAGGCTTTCACGTCCTCCAAGGAATCTCCATCAATTGTGATTTGGTTGGCGCATTTTGTGTTTTATTGGAAAACTTCGCTTTTCCCTCTGTGTATGTTGAGACCTGCTGCTGAGGCTGCTGCTAAACTGATTGTCATCTAAATATGTTGTTGCATATGCAACAGAAGAGCCAGATCTTCTGCAAAGTCTACCATGTTGAAGACTTTGCTTGATGTTGAGGGAAGAGTGATACCTCTGTAGTCCTCACACTTGCTGAGCCCGCCTTTCTATGGTATTTTGATGAGATATTCTTCTTTCCAGTTTGTTGGTACTTGTTCTTCATCGCAAATCTTGTTGAAGAGAATGTGTATAGAAGAGTGTCGTTCATTCTGCAACATATGTTTAGATTCAGATCATGCTATAGTATGACCATTTATTTGTCGAAAATTCACAGCAAAGAGATCCTCTATAGTTCTACTTAACGACAATAAAGCGAAGAGCATATTTCAGGAACAATTAGAAAAAGTTTACCGGCCAGGTAAGTGATACCCATCCAGAAAGCTAAGGAAATAGCTGCGTTATCCATCAGTAAAGTAAACCAATAGGTTAGGGAGAAACAGTATATTTCTGTATCGTCTACGGAAATGATGGATCCTCAAAAACTCGTCCCATCTGGCTGTGACCATGACAAGGAGCAGAGTGGGCTCGAATGCAGGTTGATAAGAAGTCTACGCAATGATCGCGAACAGTGATTGGAAAGCCAGCAGCGAAAGGTAACACTAGACAGCTGTTCAGGCTTATCAAAGAAGCCGGATTTAGGAATATGACCGTTAGTGAAACTATCTTGGGAAAAGATGTGACCATTATTCATCCTGAACCCAGGAGATTAGATTGATTGGCTTAACATTTTAGGAAACACTTCAGGTGGCCTTCAGCCGCACTTCGATTACCCACCAACTGCAATAAAACTGAATGGCAAGTTGATGTAAGTTCTCCAACTCCAGGCTGCTCTCAGACCTGGACATGGATATATTGACCAAATATTCACACTTCATAAGGTCCTCGAACACAGACATACATTTTGGCGTCCGACAATATTGTATTCCTCAACCTTAATCGGTATTTGACTTTATTGATCATGAGTTTCTGTGTCAGTGTCTGTCATTGAAAAAAGTACCAAAAAATACATTAACCTTGTACAGGCTCTGTACTCGAACACTACTGCTCTAGTCAAAGTTTGTGATGAACAATCATCAGTACTGATTACTTCAAGAAGTATTTGTTGAGGTTGTTCAAACTCTCCATTCTTATTTAGCTTTATAACTGACTTGCTTTTGGAGAAGACACTTTCATCGTTTGATTTTTCAGAAGTTGACTTCGTATCAGGAGATTCACATGCTGATGCAGATGATATAGTTCTGTTAAGTGGATAAGCTGAAAAAACTCAGTCTTTTGACCAACTTGAGCAATAATGCAAGCATATCTGGGATGCGATTCTTTCCCCGCATATGCAAAATGTTGCTTTAATATTGACTTGTGTCTGCTCCAGAACTGGTGATAAGGATTAAAGTAATTGAGCGTGTTGGCTGCTCCACTTATCTCGGGAGTCTCATCAGTGCTGATGGCGCGGTGTGTGACGGAATCTCAACTCGGATACAGAACGTTCGATTGGCTTTTGCCAACTTGCGTCACTTATGGCGTAGGTGAGATATCCGACCATAAGTATCTTCAAAGCATTTCTCGTATATCCCGGGACCACTGAGTAATCAATGCTGCTGTTAGGAAACGGGTACTAGGTAAGGATGGCACATCAGTGAATTAAGTAGCGAATCTTCATCAGTTGAAGTGGTTTACATATGTGTTACATTTGTGTTAAGGTCGTCACTAGGTATGTTTGAAACTATTACGTGTTCACCTTAGTCAATAAAATAGAACGAGACAATGAACCAGCGTCCAGGTAGGCTACCCTGACCCGATTACTAACCGAAAATCTTGACATAGCGTAGAGTGTATATTCTACAAACACCCAGCAAGCACAATGCAATCAAGCGAACAACTCTCGTTTATTTATACGTCACAGAAACGTCCTAAGGAGAGTCACAAAAATCGCACACTAAAATTCACAGCAACCAATCACAGCCAAGGATTTTCCTGGTGGAAATGCGATCTCAAGGTCAACTAATCGGCCCATGCTCGGCAACATTAAATCCAAAATAAGGTATTTATCAAGCGTGTTCTGGGGATCTGACGTCCCCAACACTATGCCCAACCACTGATTGTCCTGACAAGCCATGTTGTGTGATGTAGGGCTAGGCTGGAAGGAACCCAAGGGTAGCCAAACCAAAACATGACACCAGTTCATGCAGTCACTGACAACTGGACAGAGCCACGTTAGTAGGTGTAGACTACCTGGTTGGGGTCCGCGAGAAATCGTAACCGATGGTTAAAGACCTAGAATGACATGGCTCAAAATCGTTTTCAATGGCGCAGGTGCATTCATTCTTTGTTTTCTCTCTAATTCTTACGTTTTGAATTCCTGATAACCGTTTTTTCTCTTTTTAAATTTACTTCACTGGACTATACTCGAATTAAAACTTCGATCCCTATTCTTTTTGATTGCCACTAATACTCTACCACCTTTACTACTATGGGATTTGAATTGACAAGTGCATCTCTTTAGCTAATGTGGCGCGGCAACCAGAACTGATGTACGTACGTACGAAATTTTACGTTGTAACTGACTGACTAACTGTTTTTCAATAATTTATTATATCAGATCACATTTTATGTTTAAATAGAAGGGAGTCACTGCTTTTCGTGTACTGTCACATTTTCCTTTGGAAATGTGTATAAATTGATTGAAGTGTGATTGACTTATAAAATTGTTTTTTCTCCCATCACTTATGACATTCAATTATTTTCATTCTTGTGTCAAAATTTTGTAATATGAACTTACTGAGCAGATAGTTAGCTATCTAGCTAGATTCAACAATTATAACCTTCAAATTCACGGAGTTGCGCAACCTCATACACTGTATACATCCGAACAGGTTTGAACTTCACATTGATCGATTCATGGTTACAAATAAAACTTAACAATCTTCACAATAACCCTGCAATGCAATTATAACCTTCGTTTACTAATAAATGTTTATTTCATAACAGTTTTCATGTACAATAATGATGTTTACTTGTTTACTGTACACATAGGAAGTACATTTAATTTGATTTTTAACTTCATTCATCTTTAATGTGTGAAATCTATGAATGATACACTGGTACTGTTACAACAGAAAAAAAAAGAACGGAAAATCATAATGACTCAATGTCATCTAATTTAAAGCATCAGACACACTAGATCCATAAGCTATTTGTAACATAAAACGCATGATTATTATTATTATTGTTGTGCGTATGTATCATATGATAACATAATTATTGGAATGGTAGAATTTGGATCATATGACAGAAATTGAGTGATTTGTTTGTTAAGTTATTCAGACCTAGAGACAACAATAATAAGATGTATGGTTTACATAAAAATCAATAATACTTAGGGTAATACTAGTAATAATAACAATAATAATATGCTCAGTCAATATAGCGAATTAGAAAAATCCTTAACGTTTTTATCGAGGACCCATGTCTAGTTGAATCTATTAAACAAACCAACAATGAGATAGGTATCACCGATGCAAACAGATGCTGATCGTGTAAAATCTACCATAGAATGACAAAATTAAGGAATGTAAATCATTAGATACTGACACTGACTCAGTAACTTGATCACTGCCTGAAATTATATCCCTAATCGGATTCTGAATGCTTGTTACTGATGAGATTCTAAACTACGATGAAACAGTTTTATTTCAAAGTTATCAAGGGAAACTCTGTTCACGCGATTTGTTGGAAGTGTAGTAATTATCTATCTAGTAACCATAAAATGATCTGAACTAAATATGATGCCAACCTCGTCACTTTACGTCTTACCGTTGTGTATCCTGATAATAGTAAGTCGGTTTTAATATTAAAACCACCAGTTAGAATGATTCCTACTTCAACACGTAGTATAACTAAGATTAAAAGCATAATTCAAACGGTTTTATGTAAAATGTATTTTTTATCGTTGAGTAGCAGCAGCAAGAGAGAAGAAGAACAGTAAACAACATAACAGCTAAACGAATCGTACGGTTGTCAGTGGAGTTCACTTTCCCTCTCCGAATGCTTCACATGGCCACGCGTATACAGCCACTGATGAGGAAGCCCT